TTTCAAAGCTTTCCTTTAAAGACCTGGTAAACTGGTACATGAGTATTCTCATTATCATCTTCTAATATGATGATACAAATATCACATTTTGATCAATAGCACAAAAAAAACCATTTGAAGGAAGGTTTCTATAGAACCTTTCATGCCTTATAAAGTAAATAAAATCAAAAGAGGAAGTTTTAATGACCCACACAAAGTATTTTCTAGGAAAGTGATGTAGCTATCTGTGAAAGTCTCTCTTAACATACCAAGAGAAAATTAACTTTCAATTTGATTAAACACTGTTCTTTGTTCTAGACTAGAACCCTCAAGCCAAGCAAGCCATATATTCTTTTTTTCTACTGCCACCTAGCGTATGTTTGGATTTCCTTCATTTAAGAAAATATTTGCAACTGAAATGACTCTGAAAATTTTAAGATTAAACTAAATCAGCAGTAGCTATTTGTGCTCAAGATATAAACTCTATGCACCTTAATATGTTCAAACCTCAAAGCTATGTTTTTAAAGGAAACTTATTTCTATCATCCATCTATTTTAAAGAGATCCCTAGTATATCAAAGATCAATTATGTACAAACATGACAAATTCACAAATACAACTGTCACCAAGTAGAATGCATTTTTTAGTATATTTCACTAAAACTGCATTACTGATTAAACATATTGTTTTCAAATAACTCCAAAGGTCCTTTGTTAAAGGGAGGCAAGACTGGGACTTATCTCAGCTAAATTCAGACTAAAACTCAGCTAAATGCTAGACTCCTGTATTTGAGCTGGTCACCCAAGATTACCCCTATGGTCAATGGAAAAAAGTAGGCACCTTCAGAGAACAAGTAATTTACTTACTTTTCCAAATTTTCTGAATAATTGTAATGATTATAAGCGTTAAATCTCTACTTACTCAAATATTCAAGAATCACATAGATCAGTGCAGTTGGAGAGCAGTTATAAAGGTTTATAAACCAAGAACATGAAATTCAACAATGCGTTACAATTCAGGCTACTGCTGGTCTGAGGAGCAGGAGATACAAGTAAGGAATTTCTTGTAAAAGTTAATTATGCATCAAAAAATAGGCAGATAGGAAAAAAACCCAGAGAAGGTATCTTAAATATTACTGGGTCTATGCATAGCTTTGAAGAGTGAGTAAGGAAAAGCTATGAGACAAGGTGAAAGTACACTCAAGCTCCACATTTCTGTTACTATCCTGAAGGCAAAATCCCAGGTGATACCCACAATTCTTAATGCCTTTCTGCAAGCTGCTTTGTTCAAAACAGCATTTCCAACAGGTGACGTGTGAAAACACTGCAACTATGTCTCTGACACCAGCTGAATAAATTTTGAGCAAGTCGGCTCCGCTTTGTGTGTACCATTTTCCGGGAGTCAAATTCTGGAATTGCAGGGACCTTACCACACTGAGGCAAGTAGGGATAGAGAAGCAATAACTATCCAAAAGCAGTAAAAAAAAAAAATCTAGAGAGGCATGAAATATTCGCAATTTTAAAAAATATGGACATAATTACTTTCCTCTCGAGTTCTGCTATACATATGTTGAACTTTTTGTGCTCTACCACTTTGAATTTTATCCGAAGGCAATCTGTCTTCATTCCTGTTATAGAGGTGACTAAACTTAACCAGCTCAGCATAACTCAGGGCAATGCAATATAACACATCTCCAGTGTCTAGATGACACTGTACTGGCTTGTACCAAAGCTTAAAAGGTCATCTATATGTTTAAATATCCCATAGCTGAACTGTCTCCTCTGCCTGCCTGTAGCTCTTGCATATGTTACCAAATCTCTAAGAATACTGTTACATCTGTTTAGTAAGATCAATTATCTCACCTCATTCCTCATGAAAAAAAAATAAAGAGAAAGGAAGCAGTTCTGCACATTAGCTGAGGTGTAGCTGAGATATTCAGAAAAACTGTATTGTTATAACTGCTGCACTGTAGTGGAATAGATCACGCAGAGAGACTGGGGAATCTCCATCTCTCTTCAGGGTCCCCTAACTAGACACAGCCATGGCTGATTTGATGTACCATTGACAAGAAGAACAGATGGCCTCCAAAAACTCCCTTTGGCATGTCTGTGATTCAATTTCTCCTTTCTCTTATCTATTAGAAACATGATGATCCATTGAAAGAGGGTGGTGTTACTGCCTACTGCTAAAATCCTCTCTATTGCTTAGAAAGAGGTTGGGTTGCTAAAAAGATAAAAAGTTTTAACTGAGGAAGGACAACAACATTTTTTTCTTTTTTTCTTCTCCAGAGCACAGCATAACACAGTGGGGACACCCATGATGCTTATTCCCAGTTACAGGAGGAAATATTTAAGAAGATGGAACACTGAAAAATTTCAAGCACAATTAGCGCCACTAAAGCATGTTACTGCTGGTGGTAACCTGACACTAGTTTTGTCTGGATAAATTATGTTTCTGCCCAGATGGTGAGGTCTATTCTTCCTTGTCACAACAAAAACTCCATAATTTTTGTTGAGACAGACAGGAGGGGCAAAAACCCAGTAAAAGACACATGGAACAACAAAACTTGGTAACTTCACCTTAAGACTATCTAAATTACTACATTAATTCTGAGTGTTAGCTGCAAAAGAGACCCGAATCATTATATTATTAAATTTACAAATATAAAACTATAATACATTACAGTAATATAATTTTGTCGAAACTATCGATCACTGTTTTGTTTCAAAGAATTTAATTCATGCTCGTTTGAGAGAAAGATATTCTACAGGTAACGTGATGTTAACAGAAAACTAAACACAGCAACCTTATTCTTAAAATCCTGAAATCAGGCCAGAAAATATACCACAAAGAGTCCAAAATTTCCTATGACAAATGACAAAGCCACAGAGCCCTTTCAGTACCATGGAGAGGAGGCTAACCTAGAAGCCTATAAGCTGCTACAAATATAACCATGAATAAATGCAGACATTAGCTTAAAGTGAAATCTGTCAAAGCTAAGTAATAAATAATTTCTTGACATTCAACTATCAAATTTCCTTGATGTGCCCTTTCAGTATTGGTAATGAGGTACTGCATAGCCTTAGTTTAACTTCAGCCTGAACTCATTAATGATTTTCCAGAGCCTCTCAATTACATGGGACTAGTGACGAGGGTGGGGGGAGATTCCTAAAAACTGCTCTAGAGTACCTTCACATCTTTGCCAGTTGCCTGAGCAGCAGGTCTGGAAACACTGACCCGAAAAGAAAGCAACTGAACCCTGCAGCTATAAGCTACTGTGCTTGTTTGGCACATGTTATAACTGGGTGCAATTTGAATGGATCTTGATCAAACTGTTGATGCAGCAAGACTGGCTTAAATCTGCTGGCAAATACTGTGATTAAGTTTGTTCCAGCACTGATCACCTATACTGAAGGCTGATGCCAGTAAACTTAACTTCATTCATTGACCTTACAACAAATATGAAAGTCAACAGAGATGTTTGTTTATAATGTTTGACATAGATGCAGTTGTCCTTTTCCTGTTCTGACCAAAATGCAAAGCATCAGAAAGCTTCACATCCAACTTGACATTAGAACCAGGCACATGAGAAATCTTAGTGAAGATTCTATCACAATTCCCCTCCTCCAGCTAAGTATTTTCAAACTTTATACAACTCATATTGCAAATATTCATATTGCATACACACAGCCCCACCAAAGAAAAAAAAAAAAGCTCAATATCCTCAGATCTCAATGTTTTAAAAGTCTGATCAGGAAACAAATGCCATGGCAGCAGTACCTACAGTTTATATGGGGGGAGGGGGGGGCAATGGTGAATTTCTGTTGTACTCTGATAGTATATGACAGCAACCAAAATGTTCCTAGATTTATATCAGATACAGCCCTTGAACACTGGAGGCACCTGGAGAATATCAAAGAAGATATAAAAGTATAGGTAATCACCATGCAGAATCTAGCCAGATCTATCAAGGAGTCATAAATATAGCATAAACAATGGCCTTGTTGATGGCATAGTACTGTTTACTCATTTCGCATAGCTTTCAGACAACCTGACAAACACAGGATTTTTCCAAATGCTGATACAGATTGTTTGACATTTCACTTTGGTTCCCTAATTCCCAATACTTTCAAGGTACGCTGGTAGATAGTTTTACAGTAAAGCACTCCAAGAATGAAATTATCAGGAAATCAGATTTCATAGTGACACTACTAGCCTAGAAAGTCCTTCTAAACTTTTAGATAGGTATCAAGATTTTCTCGTGATATCTAAAGGTCTTGGAAAGAGAGACAATTTGTGACAATAAAGTATTTGACTTCCAGTAATAATGCTTATAATGATATATTTTGATTAGTATCTTAAAGCTCATTGAAGACGCAGATACCTTCTGCAACACTTATTACAGAAATCAGCTCATCACCTATGTTCTGTTTAAATCAAATGTAGAGTACAGACTTATACAAGAAGTGTGAAAGGAATTCACCAAGATAAATCTGGCAGCATCAGCTAGGCTAGTAACCTTAATGTGGATTCATAAGTAATGGTTGCAGTATTATACATAACAATAATAAGCTTTCTGGTATACATAGAACACACTTAATTATAAATGCCAGACAGTGTTTCTCAAAGCTTCTGGTTTTCTATATTAGACAACATATTTACTCACCTCAACTGACTCTAGCTTTTCATCATGGAGATGAGGTGACCTTGGGTAAATATCAAGAAGATGAGGAGGATCATCAATATGTATTCTTCTAAAATGGTGTTTAAGAACTTCTTTATAATCAAAAGAATCAAAGTTGGTTTTCCACAGTAACACCTGTAAGAAGCCATCGTATCAGTAATTACATGAAGCCTATTCAGTGCCTAAAACACAACTATTCAATGAAATCTGTTACTACTAATAGATCACTACATCATAGTGAATCTGCTGTGATCACTCATCTCCACTACAGCACAGGCACTTCCCCAGAGTATCTTGTACTTCAAGTCTAATAGATGCGGTCCAATCTATCAAGAAAAAAAAGCAAACCTCTAAAACATGTCTACAATCATAAAACTGGACTGTACTAAGCTATTTTCCTGCCAAATCAAGGGGTCATATACTATTAAGTTTCTGATCCCTATAAAGGCTTCCAGGTCAAACAAGAGAGTGTGAGGGGTTAAGAGAAATGACAGAGTTCCACAGAACTAAAGCACCTGGTTCCAGTGTTTCAGCAACAGGAATTTGTTTTCTAAACTTTGTCCAATTACATTCAAGGCGGAAACAATGCAGAAGAGTCACACAGTGGCCAAATGCAGAAGTAAAGTAGTAGAATGCAGAGATAAGACAACTGAAGGTAGTCTATCCAGTCTTATGGATAGACCACAGTGGTAATCTCTTGTGTCACAAAACAATCTAAGTAATTTAATTAAGTTTACGTGATTTGTGTCATCTTTCTTACTATAAGTACTAAGGGAGAAGAGAAAATAAAGAAGAAAGTTCAACACACTTAGAAGATGTCAGTTTCCTGAACTCCAATGTTGATATCTATAGCTGCTACCTGTATCAGGGGAAACAAAGAAGGGATTGTGATCTGACTTGAAATTACTTGCCTGGACAGACAATAATATTTTTGACAGACATTAAAAGTATTTTTCAGAAATTAATAAACTCTACCTAAGCAGCACAAATCATAGATTTGTCTACAGAAACTCCAAGCAGACTGTATTTTTTAATATATTCCTGAGCAGTTGCATTGCTACAAATTCATGTCAGGTTCAATAGCTTTCATGACTCTCTTGAGTGAAAGAACCTAAATATGCACTGGGAGATGCAGTGCACCAATAAAGCTGGACCCAAACTAACTCAGACATCAGTAACAGTGAAAGTGGGATGCACGGATCTCGGTACAAAGTATATCAACCTTCCTCAGAACCTGGCACTTGCAGAACTGTTAGGTGTTAGCTGCTGATTCACAGCAGCTCACTGTGATACAAGAGGTCCTGCTTTCTCTCACTCCCTGGCTATGTAGGTTCCATCACCCAATCCAGAATAAAATTATTGATATTTTTTAGTGCAGCTTTTCCCCATTTTTTTTCAGATTACTTTTCTGAAGGTTTAGCAATTCACAGTGTCTCAGCACTGAGCGCAAACAAGGGTATAGGCAGGAGGCAACTCACCTTTCACCAATGGTGAGCTTTTGAGCTGTTTGAGCTCTAAATATACTTAATTTTGTTCCAAAGTGCAAGGCCATGCCCCTGAAACTTCAGCATTACAGATTTAAAAAAAAAAGTTTAACCAGCATAGAAACATCCGCATATGCCTTGAGTATCTCAACTGCAATGCAAACAGTGTAAAAGCAACTATGCTCCACCCTAGAAAAAGAGATAATCCATAAGGAAGTATTTTCTTTTGTGTCAGGGCAGTCAGCAGACACTATGAGTTGTCTCTTCTGTATAGTAACTGAATTAACAGCACAGGCTACTACCTTCAAAGGAATAAGTATAACTTAGCTCTTTCATTAAAGAGCAAAAGGCCTTATTTCTCCCATGACAGCAGGTAAATGAAACAATTTGTCATGTGCACATGGAGCCAAGAAGTGTGAAGAACACGAACTTCAGAATGCTAGTATTCAGTGTTTTTGTTTGAGAAAAGAACAAACAGAAACAAAATAAGTATCCAGTGTTTGTTTCAAATATTTAATGTGCTTCTGAATAAAGCTTTCAGCTGGCTCTACACCAATCAGAAAGAAACTTGAAACTAGAAGCAGAGAGACTCGTTTTCCTTCTTCGATACAGGGAAAAGCAGACTGTATCTGTTGTTTGAAAATGTAATAGTCTCAAAATAATACGTGTATGAAGCAAGTAATCTGCAGTAAACTTACAACGAATCAGCTGCCTCCAACTCGTGCTGTGAACAGACAATATATTTTGGATACAGGTGATACTGTTATGGCCCAGCCTCTGCTCCTAATCTTGACATTGCTGATCTGCCTGCAAACCTTTCAAACAAATATGACCTGCATTTACAGTGAACCAACTTAAGTCTATCACAGTGAGCTGAGAAGTCCCACAACTATTCTCCTGGCAGATCTGGAAGAGAGCTGTGGGCAGGTCAGCAAAATAGGATATTTGTGGAGTACGTGTGTATACCATACACCAACAGAAAATGGACAGTGAGAAATAAATTTCTTATGGTTAATATAGAGAAAGATATATGCACAAGTAGTTACCTAACAGTGGCTAGCACTGCACATTTTAAAACTAAGAACAATGACAGTTATAGCAAAATAAGTAGCCCTTCCCCACCAGAGCTTTCATGTTCCCATGCACCCCGAACTTCCTTGCCAGCGTGGCAGCATGGGAAGCAGAAAAGGCCTTGGCTCTGTGTAAGCACTTCTCAGCAATAACAAAAACATCTCTGAACTATCAACCCTGTGCCCTGCACAAATCCTAAATATAGCCCCACACTAGCCGCGGTGAGGAAAGGTAACTCCACTTCAGCCCAAACCAGCACACAAAACAAAGGGGAAAAACTTCAACAGATACAGGAAGGCCTATTCTTAAGGTAACTAAACCCAGGATTCATTATTAGATCTACTATGACTACCTTTTAAATTCAACATTAACTAAGAAAGCACTTCCTGATGAAACTGAATCTTCCCTGTCATGTGTTCAGCATGAAACCACTATATCAAACTGCTGAAAAACATGAGACATCTTTTAGATTTTGCTCTATAATACTTACTCACTCCATAATCCCATGTGCCACCAGCTCTATAGCATGGAGAAAGGCAATGGCATGACTGCACTGAACATTCACAGGGGCCCAAATTCAAAGGAACTTCGCAGTAAGACAGGCATTCCCAGGGTGTGTTGGCATTCAATTCGGACGCTGTGCTAGGCTTAATACAGTAGGTCCTTTCCATCATCAGAGCTTTTCAGATAAACCTTCTGTCATGTGACATAGTTTAATACATGCCCTTCACTTCCTCTCTAGTTAAGTATAATATACTAATCATCATAAAACTCAAAATAAAGTACTCATGAAAGGTAAGGTCAACAATTTAGAATTACTTAACGTTGCATTTTGACACTTAAAAATCTTATTAAAAACTTCAGTATGGAAAAGAAAAGATTGTACTAGCAGGTCAAGGAATAAATAGCTTTCTCCCATTCTTGTTTTTCTTTCCCCTGCTTGTAAAATTTATACTGGAAGTTCGATAACATTTTCACTTTTCCAATAACTGCAAGTCTTGGCAGTGCTTCTTACTAACACCTTGTGGTAGAAACAAATTTTAATTAATTTTTTTTCTTTCACTGCTTTCAAGTAATTCTGGAAAATGTCTTACCTGAAGCATCAGGTAAAAACCAGAAGCAGACTGCATTCTTTCTAATGATACCAAAGTCTTTAATTGAAAATATTTATTATTTTCCAAGACTGCCTCTGTTAACAGCTGGAACTTATTTCAAACTCCACAAAACAGAATATAAACATTAATTATGGCAAATTCAAAAGGTCTTAATTTCTACAGCAAGGCTTTCTGTAGCGACATTGAGCTTTTAGCTTTATGTAACAGAAAACAATGATAAAGACAATATATAATATTAAGGGACATTTCAGACTGAAAATTTAAGCCTTGTGCTACAAAAGTTCTTTCTTTTTGGAAAATAGAGATAGAGATAATTCCAAGCTTGTTAGTATTTTTTTAATTATGAGGTTTATCACAGCAGATGAAGATTAATTACACAACTTGCTGTTTAATTTAACTGTTTTGTTTTAAATGCTCAAACAACTCTTCCCTGTATAAAATCCAGCACTTTACTGTTTCAAAGCTAACACAAGATTTTTTTTCCCCAACTCTAGCCAAGTTTCCCAGTTACACAACCTAATTCTTACCAAGTAGTGACTAAAAGAATTGAAAACCTAATAGAGCAGCTAGGCTTTAATACTAATTGCAACACAACTACTTTATTGGCACTGAATTGCAACACTTAAAATATTTTTATTTTAAAGTCATTCCTTTATTTTAATATGTGAAACAGAAGTGGCTAGTATTGTGGCCTTATCCTCATCACAACATCCAATGTAAAGTATACATAAACACTAGTAGACAGAATACACTTGAGCACACCGTAATTAGCATGGTACCACTCCCATCCACTGTAATAGACACTAAGAAATTTAATTTAAAGAGACAATACCACAAACCTGAGCATCTGCTCCACCTGAGGCAAATTTTTCACCACCTTTTGAAAAAGCCACAGAAAGTACAGACCCCTGGAAGGGAAAAAAAAGCATACAGGAAAATTATGCTATTACTGTACTCATGGTATTTTAATGCAAAGCAAAAAACACCGATGCCATTATCTACTATATTATCTGCAACTTGCAAGATGCAACACACATTGGCATAAACATTACTTCCCTTTTGAAAAAGTATTGAACAATCTATTAAGATCTGCCTTTAAAGAGGATTACTGTGTATACCTTGTGTCCGTGAAGAGTGTAAAGAAGTCTTCCTTCTAAGAGGTCCAGAATCTTAAGGGTACCATCAGTAGAAGCAGTGATGAGGTAGTTACCAGAAGGATGGAATGATATACAATTAACCCCAGCTCTGTGAACTAATTTACAGAAGACAATATTCAAAGGCTGTAGATATCTACTAAGAGGAAATGTACACTTGATTTCTTTACTCTTTTCTACTTCCCAAAGAACAACCTACTTTATTTAAGTGAATTACAACCAAAGTGCTGGGGCATAGCAGACACTCCAAAGTATTTGCTTAGTTCTGTTCTAAAAATTAAGAGAAACAAAGAATAAAAGGATTCAGATTGGAGTTTTAGGGTTGATAGACTACGAAAAGACACTTGAAAAATTCTAATATGACTTGTTTGTCCACTTTCCCCAGTATGGAATGAAATAATATAATCTTAAGGAATCACATTTCATTGCAAAGTGCTTCATTGTAAAGAAAATAAACAAACTACATTGCTTTTACCTTTGTAATTCTGCAGTAGCTTGTTTGTTCGAATATCCCACAGTTTCACTGTATGATTGGAACCTGCAGAGGCTATACATGTACCACTTGGGTCAAAATCCACAAAATTTGCAAATCTAAATATAATTAATGAAAACATTGATTATATTTCCATAGAAATAATTATGCATAGATAGATAGATAGATAGATAGATAGATAGATAGATAGATAGATAGATAGATACACACACACACATGTATACATAAAACCCCACAAAATTAATAGTGAGCTGTCAAACTTGTGTGGAATCCACATGTATGGAAACTCAAGGCATTACAAGTAACTGAAATAAGCATAAGAAAACCAGATGTGCATGATAAGTCAGACTGTATATATCTGGCTTCTGTTGAAAATATAGTATAATTGACCTAACTCAAACCTTCAGAGTTTGTGCTGGAGTACAAAGTTCCTAGAAGAAAGTGCTACTAAGAGTTTGTAAGCAACAAGTGAAAAAAATTTGCCTAAGTGTCTAGCTGTAACAACATTTTAGATTGGAAGACAGGTAAAGAAGGCAGACAAGAAATTAGCAAAGCACATATATAAGATAAATATTCCACAGACTTGTTAATTAAAACTCTGATTCCAAGATGTTTAAGAAAACTGTATGTAAGTAAAAGCAAGTATTTTTTAAACTTAAATAAGAAAGATCACTAAAGCTAACAGAATATAGTTTTTAATCAATAAATGGAAATACTCTTCTAGTTGAAGCATCCAATATCAAATAGCATTTGAAAACATTAAAAATCCAAGAATAATCTCACTTCTGTCTGGAATATTTCTTGATTCCTGGAAAACAGCTGGATAGATGCAGTCAGCTAACCTCTTTAGAAAAACATCACATGATTTATTTTACTTCACATGGATGGCAAAGTTTGATCTATTTTCAGATTTAACATATATAGATGTTAATACCACAGAACATGAATTCCATTTCATTAAAATTACACACATTTCTCCTTTTTTTTCCTAGAAACACTTACCCTTCGTCATCTAAGAAGCTATTGATACAAGTTTTATTTCTTGTATCCCAGAGCTTAATAGATTTATCCTCACTGCAAGATGCTATTATTCTTCCATCAGGTGAAAATCTGGAACATGAAAGTGTAGATATTACTAAACGACTGATGCTACCTAGATTAACATCAGAGACACAAGCAGGAAAACACCAGAACAAGAAAGCCTGTTTGAAATCAAGATGTACAATATTTTAAAAGACACTTGAATTTCTCATATTTCTCATGGATTAATAAAACTGTAAAGAAAAACTTCTCCCCGTACGCAAGAGAAAGAGAGGGAGTAGAATGGCAAGTTATAAGTAGCCTAAGGATGTCACTTCCAGTGCCAAAGAGATTATTACAGAAAACTATAGGCAAAAAGTCCAAGTGGACACAGTGAACCTTATGTTCAATTTTAACCTACATATATATTCTCCTGTGAGTTCTCTCTAGACTTATAAATTGTCAGCAAAGCATTCACAATTATTCCAAGACTAGCAGACTAGGTTTTTAAACAGGAAAATAGATTAGTCTATAATTTCTCCAAGCATTATTATTTCACATATGGAGCAACTGCATAAGGACATTAGAAAACTGATCAAGAACTTTCACATGTGATTTCCAAGAGCTTTTCTTTTCCTTTTCAACAATCAGACACTTTGAAACTTTGTAGGGCTCTGCACTTCACCAGTGTTAGATTTCTTTCTCTAGAGGTTTAAATCAGGCCTCTCTCAGCTGCAGATTTTCCACTAATGTGGAAGAAAGGGGAAATAAAAAAATCAGCAAAGAACAATCCTTTCGTGTCTTTGAAGAGCTGCCCTGTCTTTAAATAGAGTGTGAATCCTAACTTGCAGTCCAAAGGCCCTTTCTTTTACCTTTTCCAATTACATAAACTCATCTCATTTTGACTCATGCCCATTTTTATTCCACTACTGTTCCAAGAATAGTTGAGAAAACCCCTACAATGCATAATAAATCTAGAAACAAGTGAATGCTGTGAAATAAGTTAATACAGCACAAAACCAGACAAAGCTGGGGAAAGACATAATACTGACTGTAAATAAAACCAGAAGACCCTATTTGCCCTTTAAAGTAAAAGAAGGAACACCCAGCAACAGATTTAATATATACACATATGAACACAGAGCAAGCTTACAGTCTTCAGCTATACAAAGCTTGTGCGCATAGGATTTGATATATTAAAATTTAATTATTGGTGATAGATCATCATTTGTCATTCAGAGGTTTTTCTTCTCTTAGTTCTACCCCGGGGCATAAAACCCCTTTGTTAGGAGATCTACTTTAGCAGGAGAATAAAAACAACACTTACTTGGCACAGCAAACCCAATGAGTGTGTTGGATCAGGGAAAATAAAAGGCGCTGATTGCGAATACTCCATATTTTTATTGATTTATCATTGGATGCTGAAACTAGACAGTAGCCATCATGTGAGAAGCTCACACTACGAACAGATGCTGTATGACCTTTCAGTACTGATGACTCTCCATTACTAAAAAGGGGGGATGTGAAAAAAAAAAACAAACACCGAAAACCAAGTCATAAATCACAATTACATTAAAGAGTTTCAAACCCCATAAAACTCAATGTCAACATATTTAGAATCTTACCCAAATGAAAAAGCAGCAGAGAGAAGCTAAATCTTAGTGTCACCATTGGGTTTTTTACTTAGTTGAATATTATTAGTATAACAGTCTTTAAATTGCATTTAATATGACCAATTTCAGAAAACAGTGCAATTAACTAGCAGCATTAGCCTTTAGCATCATTAGCATTAGTATTTGAAAGAGAATTTATTTTTTTAATACAGTACTCTGCAAAATGCTTAAAAGTTATAGTAACACCAATCTTCATAAGATCATTCTGAATGGCTCATAATCACTACTACTTAAGAACATTCTCATAAGGCAAGTCAATTAAAAATCTTTTTTTCCAAAAAATGTACTTTTTTGTTTCCTTCATCACTTGTCTCCCCAAAATGAAGTGCAGCCAAGCAATTCTTATTAAAGTATAATCTTTAAGCCAAAGAAATACTACTAAGTAAAGACTCCAATATTCACATTAATGAAACACATATCCAGCATTGCCCAGTTATACTCACATGCAAGGAACCCATAGCCTGACAGTACGATCCTGAGAAGCTGAAGCAAGTAACTGCCCATCTGGTGAGAACTGTACACTGGTCACTGCTCCCACATGGCCTACAAATCTGTAAGCCCTGCATTGTGTCTTCATCTTCCATACCGTAACAAACCTATCCAAAGAGGAGGTAGCTGGCAAGAAATAAAAGATATTAGTAGTCTGCTCACTGTGCTTAGAAAAATCAGAGCTAATGACTATAGATTTGGATTCACCAGTGAACTTACTGGGCATTAGTGGGAGGGAGGAGTTGTTGGGTTTTAATGGATACTTGGCCTAAGCAGAAGTCTGGCAGCAAGCAATGCTAACACCAGGCCTTTGGAAGGAAGACTGGGAGGAGTAAAGGATAATTCTTAACAGGTAGCTCTTGCACATATTAAGCAAACTGACTTACAAGTACTTACAAGATACAGGACAACAAATGCAAATCATTATATATTTTATATCATTATATATTTTTATCATTATATCATGCACATCATTAAGTATATGTCCAGATTTGGTGTTACACAAGAAGAGACAAATTCTTCAGTAATCTCATTTTGATCTCCAAGATGCAATTTGCTTCAAGCACCAAGTGTTTAACTCCGAATAGACAAGCCAACTTGAACTCAAGACATCATTTCTAACACTTCAGATATATACACTAAAGCAAAAATATCCAAATATAAGAATCCTATAGTCCTGTTTAAGTACCAGTTTCATAATACTAACATCTGTTTAGTTCAAAACACAAGATAAAGGGGTCAGTCTGCTAACAGAAAGAGCATAAATTGGTGGGTTTTTGCAGTCACTTTACAGGTGGACCATACTAGACACATTTGAAAAGGCACATAAACCAGAGATTGGTCATTTTCAGGAAACTACAAGCAGCCAAGGCAAGGAGCAGTTGAATTAAACTGGCACATCTGATATTCCTACATCCCTACTACCTTCATCTCTTCTAAGTGATAGTATGGAGGACATAAATAAAAACAAGGTATTCACATTCTCATCCCTCAGTTATAAAATTCCTACCCCTCCCTAGTACAGAAAGGGAGAGAGAGGAGGAACAGAGACCTCCCAGAAGTTGAAGAGGACATGAAGAAGATAGCTCTTCTTTTCCCAGTCTCTTTCAAGAACCAACATAGCACAAAGGAGTTGACTTTGTTTATTATCACATGTGTCAAGGCAAGCCTCGAACAAAATACTAGATATTAAATTCTCTTCATGAATTTGATGCAGAGATATTACTTTTACTCCCAAAAGACTAGCTTCTGCTAAAAGGTGTGAGACCAGACTATCTCTATGCCTATATCAATAGGCCTATATTTGACAAAGAAATACAGGATATTTCCCCCCTTCAACTTTTCAGAACTCTGTTTTATAGCAGACTCTTTCTAATTGTACTTGAAAGATTTGATTCAGAAAAAATGTGATCTAGACTGGCCTAAAACAGGAAGGGAAAAATGAAACATAAGGTCAAATAGAATTTGAAGACATCAGGGTGGAAATATGAAGCAGATGATACTGATGGTTTTTAAAACAAACAATGAACTACCAAATGCCTAGGGTACCTTCCGAACTGTATGAAGTTGTGTGATACCAGGTCTCTTTTTCAGTTCTAAAAACTAAAGGAAATATTCTTTGAAAGATGACAGTACAATAAATTCAAAGCCTGGTTTCTTATACTTCGGTCTCTCACAGATAGGTTTTCCCACAGTTAATGAGACACAAGCAGTGACCTGAAGTTCTCCTTTCCTTGGGATATCCACAAGCATCCTCCTTGTTCTCCCTTTGGACTCCCTGCTGTCTGTGCTCACACAGCATCTTCTCTCCATCCTTATGTAGGTTTCTCTCTTAAGCCACCTGCCCATTACCATGGCACACAAAGACTATCTCCAATACTGCAGTTCCAGCCCAGCCAACACCACACCAGGGGTGATGGAGGGAAGGAGTTCAGGACTTGCACAGGAAAGTATAACTGACAGACCCATTGCAGATGTTTCCCTAAGGCACAGAGGCTGATGTGACTTTGTATCCAAACACCATGGGAGAGGCATAAGCCCAGATAAAGAAACTCTAAGTGAAAACTCTGCATCTCTATTGAACTTTTGCCCCTATCCTGCCAAGGAAACCAGATCCCTTCACCATTAATGAGGCTCAGTCAAGCCAAGCTATTCCTTGTTCAAGCAGGCTGAAACCAATTTTGGTGCCTAAGCATTTCACTGTGATGCTAAATGTTTTATATTAACCCATCACAAGCAGAAAATACAAGAGCCTATAGGGTAACTATGTTGCCAGCAATACTAAGCTTAAAAACAGTTTTATCCATGAAAATCTCTATTATTAAGTCAACTTCTTTACTTCTCTTTATTCCATTCCAAAGGCTTTTGCCTACTTTAGAACAATGCTATCTCTCCAATTCACTCAAGCATAGTACCCTAAGGACTGCTTTTTAATCCTTTATCCATTTTTATCCCCTCAAGTTCTCTCCATTCAAAAGGAGAGGAACAAGAACCTTCCAGGACAGACTACACATGAAATCCTAGAGCAGTGCAGACCAGACACAGGTGATGCGTTCTGACAACAATTGCTAAGTATGCCAGCACCCTACAGTCTGATTTTCAATTACCAGACCATCAGTAAATAGTCCACAACAGATCTCCAAGGCTAATTTAAAGTATTGGGTTTGAAATAAAAGAAACACAGAAGGTCCAGATAGGAAACGCCATACCACAAACAGGTCTGTTGCTCCTCGGAGAACACATGACAGAACCAGAACCATGTTTAGAGGTGAAAGACAATTTGTCCTTGCTACAAAAACTAAAAAGTAGAAAGCTGAAAATTCACATTGAGCTGACTCCAATACGCAACTTAGACCTCTTTAGAATCTCACTGATTTTTTTTTTTTTCTAAATGTCAGTGCTTCTGTACACACCCAAGTACAGCTGATGCATCACTGGGTAATTTGCTTTTCTGGTGATGAGTCATAACAGAATTGAACATCAATGAATAAAGACTTGGCCTTATGCAAAGTTTACACACCATTTTGCTGCAGATCTCTAAACAAATATCTGGGCTTCACATATGCCACGAGAAAAGTTTATGGTCTTTGCAATGAAACAAAGTTCAATATATAAATTGTGACTATTGATAGTATACATTTTCATATTTACACACATCATATATGAAGACACAAGTTGCTGTAATATGAAACTACCATTTCATTCTCATTTCCCACAACACCACAGTGGTGACTAAGAAAGTTGTGCAAAGATCAGAAGAGAAACTCAACCAAGGCTTTAAGAGCTAGATGTACCTCACCCTAAATAGTGAAGCATCTCCAATACAATTAACTTGCTCAGTGCAAGAATTACAGGTCAGATGGAACACAGAGCTGTGCACGTGATGGGTGTGTGAATATTCAAACACCATCACTACCAAAACCCACACACACTTCACAGGAGCCCTCAGTGTGATAAGGTGCAACGTCACAATGCAAACATAGTCAGCAGCAAATTTAAGGATTTCCTACTAGGAGAAAAGCAAATATTAATTGAACTTGTCAAGAAAGCCAATCTGCAATTCTAAGTGCAGAAATAAAATACAAGGAACTTTTACTAACTCCCATTGTTATAAATTGTGGCCCAATAAATTGGCAGGAGCCAGTTCAATTAGGAAATTTATTGATTGAGCAAGGCTTCAGCAAGCAAAACAGCGCTGGCCGGCCGGGGAGTCTCTGCTCCGCCAAC